CGAAGAGCAAGTGACTATGCATCTCCTATACTACATGCAGCCGAAGCAGTACAAGCTCTGTTGGGGGGCGTGCTTTCTGCACACGGCTGTACGAAAACCGAACACCAATGCTGCAGTGGAAGTACCTGAGGAGGCCGCGGAAGACACCACGAACTACCTGCACGAGCCGAATGCCGACGAGCTGCCGGAGCGGGAAGTCCCGGACACCCCTGCCGAGCCAGATGGTGCGATTAGCCGCAAAAAGAGTGCCCACCAAAGTCGATGGACTGCTCCACGGAGTCACAGGTGGAGGACATCTTCACCGGTAGCTTGGAGCCTCACATGGGGAAGAGGGACCCCACACCCCACCGCACGGGTGGAGGGGCATCCTGGACATGGACTATGGGTGGCGCCGTGGAGCACTGACCATATATACGTATACCTGGCTTGAGGGCTAGGCTGCCGGCAACCTATGTAAGTTTTCACTCGCTATGTGCAATATGAAGTGAAAGGTCATAGAGTACAAAACAATACAAACCAATAATCTCAAGCGTAGGTTTGAAGAGGTACAAACAGAAACCCACAAGTAAATAAATGCAGCATTTAGTGCAAGTAAGCACACTACGGGTCAATACTATGCAATCTTCGAAACTGACTGTGGCTTGGAATATTCTACTTGCAGACCTGTGGTTCGATTTTCACAGTTTCACGATCTGCTCATCCTCAGTCGCTCAACGGCTTGGAATAAGTTTAGGCCTCTGCGGGATACAGCTACTCTAGACGCAACGTATGAAATCTATTTCCCTTCTTATACATACATATATTGGTATTGAAGAAGCAGGCACACATGTGGCTAGCCTGAAATATGTGCATAAGCTTCCTACCATGGAAACACATGCTACAAGCTACAATAGCAATGTTTATGAACATTGGCAGGCAAAATCTCTTACAAGAACGAATAAAGAATTAGAAAACATGTTTATGTACATAAGTATGTGTATATATATATATAAATACATAAGCATACATGCATGCATGCATGTATGTAGTATATATACGTATATATATATATATATATATACATGATATGCAAATATCAGGGCTGAGTCTGTGTAGTACGACATGGAGGAGAAAATACAAGTAGCAGTACATGGGCATGTCGTATGACAGATTGTCAGAGTCAGAAGTCGTATGATAGATTGTCGGAAGCAACATAGCTTCATGTGATGGGATAAGCTACAGTATATGTGAATAGACATACGTACATGAAATGACAATACCACTACGGCTTTCGGGCAACTGTTATTTCCTGGTGCATTCACAGACATGTAATTCACGTATGTGGATACATCACAGAGTATGTAAACGATCATTCTCTACGTACGAATAATAACATGTATATATATATATACACATACACATATAATATGCCTTGCGGCTGTTGCATTTCTTTGCTGTTCGCTCGTGTGCCGAGCGAGAGCAAAGTCACAGAAACCTCGTTGGGGCCGTCATGCCAACTCTACCAATCCGAGCAATCTTAGATTGCGCGCCATAGTTGACAAGGAAAGGCTCTGCATGGTTCCGCGGCACTCCAGGCACCTGAACGCAATCCCTGATCATAAAGCCTGGAATCATGAACAACGTTTGCTTCGACGATGCTGAGGTATGCTTTTCCTCCGGGGGCATGGACTCTTCCGCTACCCCTACGGTCGGCTTCTCGGATGCCGGCCGCAACGGCGGAAAACAGTCAGAACCGGCTTCCTTGCACAGCTGCATCTGTTAGCAGGTCTAGTCGGCATGTGGGGAATTGTTGTTGTTGTTG